ATTTTGATGCTTTGATATGTTTACATATAATTAACTTGACCACCATTGTTGATCTATTCTCCTAACAACCACCCTCCAAAATGCGTCGGGGACTCTTAAGAATATTACACGCTATCCCTTATACAGAGATCGAAAACATGGCCGACCCAGACGACGTCAACTCATGGACATGCAGTGCTTGTCGCCTCCCGATATTCTCCACCCCTTTCGTCGTAGATAAATCGCGGGGCAGCAATCTCCTGCTTCACAATAAATGCTCTGACGAATCTCTCCCTCCCAAACTCACGGCGGGCCATACCATGCACCCGAGGGGAGCCCTCGTTCTCTGACACCACCGCCCGGAAGAACATTCGTCGACTACTACACCCAGGGAAGTAGACGAGGCGGGACATCATTGCCAAAGATGTTCGTCGATTTGTGGGAGCAAATTTTACGAGTGCCTGACAGGTGATTTTGAATCTTGTGGGTTCAAGCTTGATCTCCCGTGTTCCCTGTCGATCACGGTCTTACACAGGAGCCACAAGCACAGGTTAACGGCTGTTAAGAGGCCTACGATGTCTATGTCGTCTCACTCATTCGTCTGCGGCGCGTGCGGGAAAAAACACGCGCCGCCAGTTAAAGATGCGGTAAAAGCGTACACGTGCACGAGCTGCGATTTCTGGATTCATCCCGACTGTACGCTTCTTCCAAATACCATTGTCGACACAGCATGTCACGAGCACCCTCTTCTCCTTGGATTTTCTGTTACTCGATTCAATCAAAGCTGCAAAATTTGCACCCTCGAAATCACGACTTTCGGGTTCTACGCCTGTGTCGTTTGTCGTTATTATGTTCATATCGACTGTGGAGTTAACTCAAGACATCACAGATTCAAGCCCGGTAAATATATAAATCCGATAATTTTCTTAACTAGCACAGACACGCACACATATTATTAAACTTAACAGAAAGTTTAGGGCATGCTTGTTTATGAAATAATTTGCTCAAAATGAGTAATTTTGATTAACTAGAGTTAAATTTGAAAAAAGTGGCATGGTTAGTTCTTAGTAGAATTTTAATATTGCATTAAAATAATATTTAAAATAAAATGATTATTATTGATTTGAGGTAAAAGTATGAGATAAATGATTGGAAATGACAGGTAGTTAAAATTATGTGAGTTGATGAATAGTGATTAAAGTTGATATGATAGGTAAGAATGATTGGTTTATAATATTTAATTATATTAAAGATAGTGGGCTTGATTTAAAGTTGAGTTAGATTTTGAGTATAAAATAAATGTGTACAAATTATTTCATAAACAAGCATGCCTTTAATTTTTGCAGTGTTGGTTCGTGAAGCAGAGTTCCCGAGTCTACTTCGTTTGCCGATGGAAAATGAGCACGCTAGCGCGATGCCGCGTATTATGAAAGCAGAGAACCCGTTGTTTCGTCTTGGCAATACTACGAATTACAATCATCTAATTAGTTCATCACTTAATCATCAAACAAGTATTCGCGAATCATTTTCGTCACAATAGCATTGTTCATGTTTGCAATGCCTGCACTCAAATTATCCTTCCACCCGATCCATTTTACAGTTGCACGAATAACAACAATAATAATACATGCAAAGATTTCTTTTTGCACAGCTGTTGTTCCAGTTTTCCAAAAATTGTTTATTCCACCTACAGCGACGACTACTGTTCATTTAGGCCAAAGGTAGCCACGAAGCCCTTCAACATATTCGAGTGTGCGGTTTGCAAATGCAAATGCAATGGGTCCGCTTACTTTATCGAAGGAGGAGAGCAAAAGTATATCGATGTGGTGTGTGCCTTAATGCCTCACTTAATCACGCATCGTGCCCACGGGAAGGCCCACATTCTTCAAGGGAAGTTGGAAATCGGTGAGATCTACAAATATCATTTGACCTGGACGTGTAAATGCTGCCTCAAAACAGTCAATGATTATCCGATGACTACATACATGTGTAGAAATTCGCTATCCACCAGCACTGCGCTCTTCTCCCAGACACTGTCACCCACAAATTCGACCGACACCTTTCGAAGTTAATCACGAGTTCAGACAGAGGAGGAGAAGAAGAAGAAACTGGGCTTTGCGAGATTTGTAAAAAGGGCATCGATTGGATAAAATGGCACTACGGCTGCGAAGAATGTGGACAATATTTTCACGCAAACTGCATTCCTTGTCTCAATCGTCTATCAAAGATTAAGTTCGGTTTTGAGGTTTCGGTCAGGTGCCACGGGTGTCCGGTTGCCTGCGTTCGGGCTGTTTCGGTAGATGGATACCTGTGTGGCCATTGTGGGAAAAACATAAGGGAGAGTGATGATATAGCATTTGAATGCTCCAAATGTTACTTCAGGATGGACAAAGGGTGTGTCCAGGAGCTTATGAAAGGAACTTGAAAGAGATGATGTCTTTATTATGGTTTTTCTTTTCTTTTCTTTTGTTATTATTGTGTTTTTCATTGTTATATTAAGGTTGTTCTTGTGTGTTCTTTTAGTTGTTTTTAGTTTTGTGAGATGAGAGTGATTCCTTTTCTATTTTCTTCACAGTAATCTACGATGTAGCCTATACCTAATACAATAATAAATCAGTTGCTTTTTTTCTTAAACACTAGTATTAATTCTGTGCACATGCACATGTTACCATAAATAAATAAAGGCAAAAATTCAAAATTGTTCCTATAATTTGACCACTGTCCAAAAAACCACCCCGATATTGACCACTTTCAATTTAGTTCATATAATTTGTCAATGTCAACAATTTTGGTCCTTTTTTATCCGGACCCTGGATTAAAAAGTGACGTGGCATGAAAAAAGGACCAAATTTGATGAAATCGACAAATTATAGGACCAAAATTGACGTGTCACGTAGATCATAATCACTCCATGTAACATTAAAAAACTGACACATCATGCCACGTCACTTTTTAATCCACGGTGCGGATAAAAAGGACCAAAATTGATGAAATCGACAAATTATAGGACCTAAATTGAAAGTGATCAATATCGAGGTGGTTTTTTGGACAGTGGCCAAGTTATAGGACCAATTTTGAAATTTTGCCAATAAATAAATATTACATATAAAATTTTTAATTAAAATAAAATTTTACAAAATAGTATATATCACATTTATAATTAAATTATTATTTTAATGACTCTTAGATAGATTTTTTATACTTCAATGAAAAAGAACAATTGTCATAATTTATCCCTCTCAAGAAGAACGGGAAACAAGAAATTTAGCATTAATGGGATACCCCATAATTACAGTAAAACCTCTGTTTGTCCTATTTTTATTTATTTTTTTTTTGTTTATTTGTTAGTTTTTACCCCCGTTTTTAGGAATCTTTTTAGTTCCTAAAATTTTTAATTAAAATAAAATTTTACAAAATAGTATATATCACATTTATAATTAAATTATTATTTTAATGACTCTTAGATAGATTTTTTATACTTCAATGAAAAAGAACAATTGTCATAATTTATCCCTCTCAAGAAGAACGGGAAACAAAAAATTTAGCATTAATGGGATACCCCATAATTACAGTAAAACCTCTGTTTGTCCTATTTTTATTTATTTTTTTTTTGTTTATTTGTTAGTTTTTACCCCCCGTTTTAGGAATCTTTTTAGTTCTTTTGGTCCACCAGTCGTTCGTTTCGTGTATTTGTCGTTTATCTCTCGTTTTCGATATTTTTTGCTCTCTTGCCTTTTTTTGTGTGTTTTCCTTTCGTCTTTGGTGGTGTGCAGATTCAGGTTTTTCATCGCACGTTTGGAGATAGTCAAATAACCGAGTAACCGAGCAGCGTACGTCCCGGCCTTCAACACGAATCAGTCCTCGTGTCAGTTTTTCCAGCCTCCGCGCCGCGCAGTATGATTATAACAGAGCTTCGCACCGCGAAAATGCCACGACCTTGGACAAAGGGTTTGGCACATAACCTCTCCGCGCCGCGGTGAAGCAGCTTGCCACGCCGTGTCCCCCGCCTCGCGCCGCAGTGAAGCAGCCTGCCACATTGTGTCCCCCGCCTCTCGCCGCGATGAGGCTCTCTGCCACGCCGCGGCGCTTGATATTTTAAAATCTGTAACTGATCGCTATTAAGGAGGATCAAGCATAGGGTTTTGAATCCTTCTTCAGACTTCATTTTGTATGTGGTTTTTATCAGACACAAAACTTGTTTCTCTTTTCTTTAGTTTAGATTGAGATTTTGGAGTAACACCCAAAGTATTTCATCGTGGATTTGGATTGTGCTTGAGATTCAACACTTGACTTTTATTTATCGTAAGCTTTCATCTCATTTTGATTATGGGTTTGGAGTATTTACTTTATACAATGTTTTGTGTTCATCTTGGCATGAGTGGCTAAATCCTTAAGCTAGGGATAGGGGATGATAACTCGTACTTGTGTGCTTATCTTGCTTGTGATTTTTGTTCAATCTATTCGAGTTGAATCAAACCTAGGGTTAGATGCTTGATCACCATCCAGATCTATTTAATCGACTTGTAGAACCGAAAGGGGAGAATTCGGTTGATCTAGGTTCGATTACAGTAGACTTATTCGTAATTGTATTGCCTAGCGTGTTGTTTGATTGGTTTGATTTGCCGTCTATGTTTTCCCTCTTGTTACAAAAAGTTATTGAAGAATAATCTCTAGACGTGTAGGTTGATTGAATCATTTAACCGAACGATCTTTGCTTGGTATTTGCATTTGGTTTGAGAATAATCATCCCTGATTCCCTAGCCTTCATACGTATAAGAAACTCGTTTAAGTAGTGATAAATTGTTTATTCACGTTGCTGGAGAATCATTAGTTGATAATCAAATATGAAATCATCTGATTAGAGTGTTTAGGAAATTATTTTCTTTTTCGTGTGATTGAATATCCGTACAAATAATCCGGCTGACCTTCCTTGAGATACGACCCGAGGATTGAATCCTTTGATTTAACTCCGGTAAAAATAACTACAACAACCTCGTTAAATTAATACTCGATAAATTAATAACCTCGCTAAAACTAATAATTTGTCCGGTCCCAAGTTGAGACCAGTAAACATTTGGGACCCAATCAATAAAATTATAAGATAATACTTTTTTTGAGATCTCAGTGTATATATATTGGTTCCGACGAAACTACAAATTAATAATTATTAAAAATAATCCATATATATATATATGATGCACTTGAAGATTCTTAAGACAACTTACTAAAATAAGAATCTATTGTAACTTATTTTTTCTTGAACTTCAAATCTATGTTGATCTCATATCTAAATCTCCTTACTGCACCCAATAGTTGTAGTGTTGTCTTCTCGTACTGCAACAAAAAGTTATGAAAAATTGTTGATGCTTGCAATGCTTCTTTTAGAGTGACCGGGTGCAAAGCTATTGAATCATCATCTATTTCATCATCTTCCGGATTATGAATAACATCGGTCACTATTTCTTCTTGACTCTGAACTTCGTGACATTGATTATTTTCACCCAGAAAGTCGAGCAACTGATTCACATCCATTTTGTGGTGATATTGCATATCGGTGATCAAATTCTCAAGCTCACGAATGTCTTCTCCATGAGTTGCATCATTTTCACTTGAGTCTCTTTGATTTCCGAGTGAATTTTGCAGTGTCGAAAGCAATTTTTTGTTTCTTCTTGATGAACATTTTCGGTCCAACCTGACATTGCCATATTGATAGCATCTAAAACATTAATCTTTTCTCATAGCCTTCCAAATTGATCATTAAGAAAGGGATATTAATGAGACACGATAGATTGATATGTGGTCTGCATCACATTTTTGGAGAATATAGTATGTCTCACTGCTATGAATAATTGTTATTCGTGATGGACAAATGGATACTTTGGAGAGTATTGGTATACCCTATTAATAAACCGTTTATTTATGTGTCTATGAGAGTATCGATGTGTGGAATGGCGTAATAGTCCTTCGACTTGAGGTCAACATGCAATTCATGTATAAAGTGATTTACTTAGACCTAGTCCAACGCTTACGCCCTTATGGATAGATACGGGCTTGTGTTGGTTTGATCATGATATACATGGAATTGGTAGTTGAACCAGGATAGGATTCATTCCTCGAATATAGTTTCGAGAGAACACTCGTTTTCTCTATACTGGGTTGATCAAGTCATTGGCCAATGCACGTGATTATATTTGAAATGGTTTCAAATATAATTGATAAAATCAATCAATAAGATGAGATAAAATGATTAAGTTGTTTGGATAGACATACATTCAAGTCTTAAGCTTAATCGAGTGGTTCATCAATGAAGGGACCGTATCGCTATTGAATTTTACACTAAAGGTTTGTTTGCTTTGTCTATGTAAACGTACTTCATATTTTGAGTTCGTCCTTCAACGCCATCTAGAAGTTTCGTAAGGATCATAAATTAGATTTAAGTCAATATATGAAGGCTTATAGGGTTAAACAATATGCAATCAGTTTTCCGATTAAGAGTAAATCGAGAGTGTTTAATATTCAATTAGATTGGAATATTTATTTATGAGCAATTAGATTATTTTCTATTTGATGAAAAATATTCAATTAAGTTAAATTGGATTTACACTTAATTAAATTATTAATTGAAAAATATTAATTTGATTAAGTTAAATTAAATTTGCACTTAATTAAATTATTAATTGGAGTAAGTGCAATTACCTATTGGGCCATAGGATCTCCTACGACCCATATAATTAGGTTTGACCTAATTATAAATAGGTCATTATCTCTGCATAGTCTTTGTTATATTAGATCAGATAAGAGAAGAGAAGAGAAGAAGAGATACAAACTCTTTTGCTTTATGACTGAGAATTTCTAGCGTCTTCACCGGGAAGGATTCATTGCCGTTAGATCGTGCATCGAGATCTTGATTGTGTAGATACCATAGTAGAAGGCAAAGCTTACGAACAATTGTAAGTCTTCGTTTATCATTCGATCTAAGATCATATCGAATAACTATAGCCGGATCTTCGTTGTTGGTAAGAAAATTTTAAAATTCCGCTACGCGTACGTTGGGTTCGTACTCGAATATCCAACAAATTTAGCAATATATTTTAGAGTTCATGCAACTGAACTTCCATCATTTTCATTTTCCAAGGCTAAATCTCTCCAAGATATCACCCATGACACATATGCAACCCAGGCATGGTCTCGCGACAAGGAAGAAGGTCGCTCCGGCACCGCTTGGACATAGCAGTAGCTTAGAGTAGCATAGAGGTGCATCCAATTTCACATTCTTTTTTTCCGAGGGCAAATGACATACTTAAAAGGCGTATAAAAGTCAATCCACTCCCACGTAATATTTTTGAGGAAATCAAAACTCACCGTAATTCCATTAGAAAATGAGGAGATACTTTTTGGCTGTCGCCATATAACGATATTAAAATC